AGTCAGTCAGCCCCTGAATAGTCAAACTCCATCTGCTGATGTGATGCAACTGAAGGTTCCAGGAACAGCTACTTACAGATATTGTGGTGATATCGTTTAACAGTCTCAGTCAGTCAAACTGGAGCCATCCCACAAATACTAACAGTAGAAAGACCTGAAACTGTAGCCTTGCTTATATAATAGGGGCGTTTGACTTCATGCGGCGCTGCGCAGCGCTGACTTATCGTGATGCATGTTGGACTTAATATAAGGCATGCTGGTTAGAAATTGTGTCCGACTTTCGCCAGGGCTGCAAAACGTCACCATGTCACACGAGATCAGTCATTAATCTCAGCTCACAGTAAGCTCACACAGGTAGAATGTGTCCGACTTGACGGCACCGTTTTTATTCCCCGCCCCTGCAGTCACCTGCAGCTCACGTTAGACTATTAAGTCTGCAAAAATCTCGAACACACCTAATGTCTTCCAGCCACTGGTGGCAGCACTGAGCGCACTGCTGCTGAGAAGCATCTCAGTTAAGTGGTGAAGAAGAAACCCGGCTCCATCTTTGAATTCACATGGTTTGTGTTGAAGTGAGTTAGTTATTACTTTAAGTGCAACACACACAGCCGGTGTCTTTCTGCATGCTTGATGACAGCCTGGAATGGACTAGTAGTTTTATACACTTTCGCAAAAGGCTGATTGACTAAAACGTCTGACACTTTTTCAGAAAGAAGAAAGAAAGAAAGATCTGAGGGAAAAATCCACAAAGGAGACCGAAATGATTTCAAAGATGAGGGTGAGTATTGGCTCAGAATCCTTTAAATGGTGTTTGAGTTGTGGAGGGACAAAGTAAGTGGTGCTAAGAGGTTTTCCATCAACTCCAAAGATTATAAATATTAAAATAGAAATGTACAAACGAAACAGTTAGATTATTGCTCTTCTTTTGTTTCTATCTCAAATCAGCTGACATTTGGTGATGTGACATGTAAATCAGACAGTTTTTGAGTTGTTGAAAGGGGGATTTTTTCCTCACTTGATGGAGGAAGGCGAGCAGTTTATGTATGTGTCCAATTTTTGTGCTAAGCTAGGATAAACAAGTCCCGGACAATCTCATTGTTACCCCCTAATGTAACATGACACACAGAGCCTCTTCTCGTCCTATTCTAGGTTTGTTATGTAAATGTTTTATCATGAGAACACTTTTAACTTCTTCTTTCTTTATTTCTAGAAACAAATGTCAGAAAGGTGCCGAATGCTCAGGCAGGAACAGGTTTTGGGAACCAACTGCAGACACTTAACATAACATAAAGTGTACAAATGTACATATGTATACTATGTATGTATATGATAAGTGTCCAAACGAAAACAGGGTAATCCGACAAGGCAACGTAAAGTCCAAAATCCACTAACAAACGAAACAACAATAATCCTGGCAGGTGAGAAACAGAAATCCAAGAGCAAATCGATGCAAACGGGTGCATGCAGCACGACAATAAAAATACGGACCAGCAAACAGCAAAGGAAAACCCGGACAATATGTACTGATGTACAAGCATGCACACAAGCAGGCAGGGAGATTAATCACGGGTGGGACACATTAGGAGTCAACAGGGAAGACAGAAAGGGAATAAAGCAAAACCAGGACACCAAGGCCAGTCAACTTCAAAATAAAACAGGAAACAGACGGACACACATACCAAACCCTGACAACAACGAGGAGTTAAAAAGTAAACTTTCCCTCATTCCACTTTTCAAACTTCCCGACTCCTGTCATGGTTCAGCAGCAGGTCCACATGCAGTCCAGGAAGCTGCTTTGTTCACTGCTGCCACCTCCTCTGCGATTCATTTACTCTGAGGACAGGAGGGGCCACAGTGCTGCTCCTTCTTCAGGAGCCCCCGAGAAGACACTTTGATGTCCTCTGAAGCTCGTTGTTGTCAGGAAAAGTGAGGCGATCCCCTGAGAAGACAAAGTGTTTCTGTCAGCGGCCTTCTGGAGAAGCGAGAAGCCAAAAGACGAGGAATAAAAGTTCAGGCCCCCGGGGGAGAGGCTGATGGGATAATAAGACATCCAGAACAGCTGTTCAGTGAGGGGCGTCCTTTCTCTAAAATAAGCAGCAGAGATTGCTTGAACATGACCGAAAGATTAGTTTGTCCTAATGTGGTAAATCCCGGCTCGTGTTTGCATGAGGCAGCGGTGCACGCTGGTAAAGCCCAGCAGGACACAGAGCGGCCAAACACACGGCCTGGACGCCATGTTTACCGAAAACTGTTTGTCCAGCTGCTGGAGGGACGTCGCGAGGAAGCGGGACGGCTGTTAATTAAAATCGTGATTCATCCCTTTTTTCCGTGGATCAAATGAGTTGTACATTACCGTCGACACGGCCAAACAAACAGTGGGGATGCCAGTGTACATGTTTGCTAACCTGCCCGGCTGTGCATCCACCTCTCCGGGGTGTTGGGGGGGTTTGATTCCTGACACTGTTTGGATATTCCTCCGGGTACCAGAGATAACATTTATACTGCCTTCACGTACTGGGAGCTGCAGCATGTTTTGTACAGCCAATAGTTAAAAAAACACGTTTATTTGTGAGTTCCCCAAGCAGCGATTTTTCATTCATAGTTTTAAGGTGTAGTCACAGACACAGCTGAAGATAACTGACATATTGTCTGTTTTTGTGACCAATTATGATTGAATATAGGTCTGTTTTTCTTCAATATTCACAGACATTAGGAAAGCACTTCCAAAACGCCTAAACCTAACTGAGAATGAAACCTAACGGAGAACTCTGAAAGAAACCTTTATTTCAAGTTCTAAAGATCAGCGCTACAAGAGGATAAAACCGTCACCTGACATCTGCCCTGATATTTATAGATACCAGGGCAGATGTTTCAAACCAGAACTCTTGGGGCATTGAACTTGAAAGACAGAACCCTGAGAGGATAGTCATGCCCAGAAAGGTGGAACCAAACCATAATCATGGCAGTTTAGAAAACGCCCATGTCTATCATTGCTGTAACATTATTTTCTAACCATTTTGGACAAGCAGTGTCCTGACGATAGATCCAAAAATGCTCATATGGGTCGTTTTGGAAGACAATGACAAAATAATCTACATATTTTGTGGCTTAGTTTGGAGAACTTGTGGCAAAATACCAGTGCAAAGTATGTGACAACCCACTTGGTACAAAGCCTTATTCTGGTCTTTACAAAGATGGGAAACAGACAAAAGCCACAAATCATTGATAAATTATTTAAATGCTTAGCAATCAAGGTTTGTAAGTTTACATTTACTCATTTGGCAGATGCTTTTATCCAAAGCGACTTATGTTTGAGGAACAACATACAAGCATCAACAGAGTAAGAGATCTACAAGTAACAGATACTCATAAGAGCAAGTAGTAGTAAGAGTAATTAGCATATGTGTGCTTCCCATTGATGTGTAATTAAATGTTCTGTTGACTGAATAATCAATTAAATAACTCCACATTTCAGTTGTAATATGCTTACTGTGATTTTGATTTTTAACCATTTTAACCATCATCTGTTGTGATTTCTTGAACTTGATGTGGGGCAGCGGTGGCCATGGCTATTTGAGAAGAAAGTTTCCATCCCTCATTAAAAGACCCAGTCAATCCAGGAAGTGGTAATATATGTGGTACCTGAAGCTTAGTGTTGTAGTTGGGCTCGCTGGTGAGCTACAGCTAACACACCAGAAAGTTCCGAACCAGATCTCATCCCAGGGCTTCAAATACCGACGCTTTAAGAAAGCCTGACAAAGTGTCGGTACCGTTCAGCGACTGTATGAGACGCCCTGGGCTTTCAAGACCAATGTATCCCATCCACCATCACGTAATGTACTCATTTCAACCCAAAACACACTCTTTTTCTAAACCTAACCAAACCATCCTCTTTTCCTAAACTTAAAGTTAAAATACCAACGCTTTGTCAGGTTTTCTCAAAGCGTCTGTATCTGACACCCTGAGATGAGGAAGTGTTGGAAATTCATAACATGTTAGCACTCAACAGTCAAGTCAGTCACAGTAGCTTCTTTCTGTTTACTCTGTACTGGGCCGTGTACTTCCCTGTTAGTGAGAGTTGGTGAAGAGGGTGAAAAAGCTCTCCAAGCTAGCAAGGACACTAACTTTCACTTCGCTAACTCCCGGTGAGAAAGCTAGGTTGCTAACGGGACAAGATGCACACACATCAGTTTATTCTAAGGATCCAGAGTATACTCCTGTCTCATTACTGTCCCTGAACCACGTCTCTCATGTGGAGCGGTTTATATTGACAGAGGAGGTTAGACATAATGTGAGAGCAAATAAGCTACAACAGTTTCCTCAATTCTGGACTCTCCGTTGTCAAGATAGTTTTTGATTGTTGGTCTGCATGTCAAAGTCCACCAAAGATAAACTTGATGTGAATTATTCACGCAGATTGACTTCGCCTCCGCATAGGAATCTGCCAATTCTGGTGACTTCATTGAAATAAATTGCTGCGCAGTTTCAGTGTGACTGAACATTTAATCCCTCAACAGTGGAGCTGCTGTGTTTAAACTGGGCAGCATTCCAGGTGTGAAGGTGTGTAACTGTCTGTGTGAACACGGCGAAAATGACAAAGAGAGCCCTCAGTGAGATTTCTCTGAACAAATAAAGGGTAAAAACAACAATTTTTTATTGATAAAATCAAAGTGTAACTAATCCCATATTACTGCAGTCTTTGGTGGTTCACTACCAAACCACAGTATCACACCTGCAGGTTAGAGCTACTGTTCATAATAACTATCAAACAGTTGTTAACGTAGCTCTGTTTACACTTTTAAACCAGTTAAACCACTTCAGAATACTTTGTTTTTAATACTGTAAGGATTATCTCATGTTGACGAGACAAATGCTACTAATCTGCAGAAATAAACTTTTCGTTGGACTGCTCGTGTTTTAACAAGACTTTATTATAAAGACACGAATGTACATCTTTCAAATTTCAATGGAATACTGACATTGCGTGTCTAATTCACATTTTTTCTTTCCTCTGCAAAGAACAAATAGCAAAAAATCTTTCACCTTATAAACAAGTGCTGCAACACCAACAGGCCGGACGACGAGTTTCTGAACAAGATTCAAAATCAGATAGAAATGAACATCAGCAACCTGAAAATCATAGCAGCATTGTGATTTTGAAAATGATTTTTAGGAAAAGTCCACTCAAGAGTCTAATTTATGATTTTTTTCATGTTATTTCTGTCAACGCTGATTTTTTTTTTTTGAAGAAAAATTCCAATCAAGTTGGAGTTAACTGACTGAGAAGATCCCAAGACTGCACAATCTTGCAGATTCCACTGAAATTGTACTGTTCAAGGCCTTCAAAAGTTGTGACTGGGTCAGTTTCTCTCGAGTTCTGGAGTAGAAAAATAATCCTGGACGAGATGACCCGCTGACGGCGACAGAGCTGAACCCGAGGCCTGCTGCTCAGGCTTCAGGTCTCTGTGCAACTTTTCAGTTTGCTCACAAATAAACTTTTTTTTCTTTAAATGTCTCTACTATTAGTTTAAAGGATCTGCAAAAATAAACCACCAACAACAAAAGAATATTTCTTTGTAAGCAGAGAAGACGACACACAAGTCACAGCACTTGGAAACGCCACGAGGCCTGGTCTTTGTAGTCCAAACAGTCGGCGGTGTTGAAGTTGAGTTTCCAGGCCGAAGCCGCCGTCTGCTCTTTGTAATCCAGACAATCTGTGGAGTTGAAGGTGAGGCCCGGCGCACTGTACGCCTGGTGGTGGTGTGACGGGTGGTGGTGATGGTGGTGGTGCCCTGATGTCTGGGCGATGTGGTGTTGCGGGTGTCCCGACATGGAGCTGCCAGTCATAGGGCTGAGCTGGTGTGGGTGGTGCGGGTGGTGGTGGGAGTGCATGGGCGCCAGGTACGAGCTGCACTCCACGCCACCGAAGTAAGAGCCTGATGCAGAGGCCGGGTAACCCTGACTGTACGCCGCCGCCGTTTGGCCGTAAGACACCGGGTAGGAGGGCGTTCCTCCAGAAGCGGAGGACGACACAGAGCGCTGCATGCAGGAGGCACTGGTGGGGGCAGCAGGGTCGGGTAGCGTGGCCGGCGCCGGGGCCGGGGAGATGGGCGCCGGGCTCCAGATAGACGACACCGGGGCGGTGATGGAGGTAGATGTGCTGATCAGACCAGGACCGCCGAGACCAGAGGAGGTGGAGGAAGAGGAGGTAGAGGAGGAGGTGGAGGAGGAGGAGCTGGACACCGCCGGCGGGGTGAACTGGCCGCTGCTCTCTGAACCGGTGCTCTCTCTCGTCGGAGAGGACTTCTTCTTCATTGGTTTCACCTTGGCGCTGTTGCTGCTCTGCTGCTGCTGCCGACACTTGGCTCGCCTGTTCTTAAACCAGACCTGAGGAAGGAGGAGAGGTCAAAAGGTCACCGTCACACATCGGCTGGGTCACAAAGCAAAAAAACAGACAAACCTGACGGAGCTGGCAGGAACTGAACGCCTTCTGCTTCATAACATTGCGCTCTCACGTGATCATACTGAGGTGCTGTGGCTCTGACCTTTGACCTTTACTGCTTGCTGCTCGTAAGGAACTGCAGTTTATCCAGAGACTCTTTGCTGTGCACTTACTTCTTGTGGCATTTAGGCATGCAGAAAGTTTGGTTTGGATTTAAACATTACATTTTACAATTATCTCTTTCCTGAGAGGTTCTTCCTCTTACTCTGGATGATCCACACATAAGATAACACACTGTACACAACTTTCATAGGGACTATTTCTTCAGTAGAAAGTAGTTCTAAATAGGGACTTCTTCTGGAAATTTGAAGTTGGAGACATATATTTCAAAATCTGGACAAATAAGATCAAATGTATCTGCTTGGAGACAGAAGAAGGAGAAAATGTGTTTTTTTAAGATTTGGGTTTACTGACCTTCTAAAGCCTAAAGAAGTACTGTTTAAATGATAAATGAAGGTACAAAACATGGTTCCACAACCTGTTCAGTAACTCTCCCTCAATGAGGCGATACATAATAATTATTTGATGAAATATTTGTTTTACTAAATGATAGATATCGTTAGTAAAAGTGACGCATGAGCTCAGAGGAAAATGATAACTTATGTAAAATGAATAAACAATGACTAAAAACTTGACCAATAACTCAATGACAAAATAACTTTGACATGCAAAACAATGCCTTCATCCTTTTTCCCAATGTTCAGTTTCCAGTATTTCTTTGATCAGACACGTTTGTTGCCATCTTTAGAACTTTTGGGTCAGCAGTGAAGACATCAGGGACAATGATGGAAATAAGTTCAGACTTTTGTGGCTCTTCCGCTGATAAAGTAATATGCGGTGTACTTAAAATATTTATATATATCATTGAATGTTGAATAATGTCAATAAATCCAAACAAACAAACAAACACAACAAAATAGTGTGGCTGAATTTTCATACTAAGAAGTCAAAACACACATTTTATTTGTAGTAAACTTGTTCATGTGTCTGTACTTGTACATAAACAGGAGCTAATGGCCACGACCACATGCTGAGAGGTGTAAGCTATGTAACAGAAATATATCAATTAAATATTCCCTCTAACATTAATGGTTGTTATAATAATTATATTTAAGTAATCAGAAGTCACAGCAGGCCTGTCATAGTAAGGTTAAAAATAATAATATGCTTGCACAAAACTAACAGTTCTCCAGTAATGATAGCACTGATCACTGGGCCTGTCAGAGGTGCATTAGTAACTGCTGTGGTGGTAAAAGCGGCCTGTCAGCAGCAGCAGCAGAAAGCAGAGAGGCAGCAGCCATAATTGCAGCTTTAAGCCCAGCAGAGGGCTGCTAAAGCCGAGGATGGAAAACCTCTCACATCCTTTTCTAAAGAAAGCTAAATACATTAAATACATCAAAAGCTGGTCCTTCACTCTGCCAGAGCCCAGCCACATTCCCCCGCTTTGACTGAAGACTTGCCTCTACTTGATCAATAATGGCTCAACTTTTCTTTTTACACTGGAGCTGATCTTGCAGAGGCCTGAGGTGAAAAACAGAAAGTCCATCAGGAGCTTTCAAATCTGAGCTCAGATGCATAAAAGTATTTGTGGACACACGTGAGTGTGTTATTCAGATGGAGCTTAAGCTCTGAAGGCTTTCTGCTGTGACCTCCACATTTCTGAAATTTCTTACAGCTCTTTAATTTATTGTCCCTCGTTTCTATGTCAAAGGCTTTGCATATACCTATAACCTAAACACACTCAGTGCATGTGGGGTGCTGAACCTCAGCAGATTAAATTTGGAGAAAACAGCGCTGAATTTTCCCAAACTGGAAGAAAGTCTTTAAACGTTTGCAAACTTTTCCTTATAAATTAGGTCAAAGGTGCACATGTAATGTCCCTGACACGTGAAGCAGCCGCAGTGACTTTCTCACCTGCACTCGGGACTCCGGCAGGTTGATTTTCAGCGCCACCTCCTCCCTCATGAAGATGTCCGGGTAGCGCGTCTTGGCGAACAGCGACTCCAGAATGTCCAACTGCGTCCGGGTGAAGGTGGTCCGCTCCCGGCGCTGCTTCCGCGGGTTACCTGGAAGAGAAATACACACATTTCCATCATTAATCAGCTCAGACCAAGACTAAAAAACACACACTAGAAAATGGGATTTTGTTTCATTGCTTGTTATTTTTACTTTCATTGGTTTGCCGTTTTTCCCCCCAGCGCGAATAAAACATGTTGGGCTTGGCAAAACATTATTTCGACAGTCTATAGACTCGTTTTAGACGAAGGTGAGTGGTAGACTTTATTAAGTTAAAGAGTAATGCTGTGGAGATACTACAAAATACAGCAAAAACAAACTTCCTTGTGCCCCCAAACGCACCAGAAGCGCAGAATTTAACCCCAGTTTCCCCACCGCGAGCATCACGCACTTTATCCCAGTTTATAAAAGTTTTAAGTCATTTAAGACTTATAAATAGCCTCTGCCTAGTTCTATATATACTCTGTTATTTATTTATTAGTTTAGAAAGGAGCTTTCTATCACCCACACAATCGTAGGTAGTTATTTGTGATTCACGTTAAAATCTGTAAATGTATAAAAGTATTAGGAATAATGGAGAAGTGAAAAATAATATCCATCTTGGTCACTAAACTCGAGCAGCTCAGACATAAAAAATGAAAGTTTAATATTATAGAAGTGATTTAACAGCACAGCGGAGAGGACTTCCAGTGAGCTTATAAGAATAATATGGTTACAAGGTCGTGCACATGTTGATGTTCCTGTGATGTTGTATTTTTGGGAGGACATATGTGTGTTTAAATGTGGCTGTGATCCGTACCGGGGTAGCCTACAGATGGGTGCAGCAGGTCCATAGCAGCTCCGCTCAGGCCCAGTCCGTTCATCCCGTACGGGGCCTGTTTGAGATAAGACATCATGCTAGAAGCACGGACGGGAGACCGGAGTCTACAGGACGGGCAGAAAAGGGGGGCAGATCTCCCGGTGCTGAGGTGCTCAGGTCCCCGGTGTTAATGTCGGCTCCTGCGAGAGGAAGAAGAAGCACGGTGAGTGTGGGGAACAAGGAATAAAGAAATAGGCTGAAAAGGGGCCTTAAACCCCAATAAGAAGGAAGCACATGTCCCCTGGAGCAAAAGGCCTACAACTCCATAAACCTTTTACTTTTTATTACCTTTAATTTCTCTCCTAATAAACTAAACAGGTAATCAATCGTGTAAAATCCTGGATCACTAACCCTTCAAAACCTTTAATTTATGAGCTTTTAGAAAATCTGCAATTTTTTTTTTTTTATAATAAAACACTGTTCTGAAATCCTAAATGAATCCTGCTGATGGAATAAAAAAAAACAACGTTAGAATTTGTCAGTTTGTGCGTCTCGAATTTACTTAATCCAAAATGTAACTTCCCTAAATCAGGAACAATGCGATTTCCTAACATAATGAGCAAATGGCCGCGCGGTTTTAATCCTCGCACCTATTTAGATTACGGGAGAGGAAATAAAACCTGATGCGAGAGAAAGAAGAACTGGAGGAATTAGGGAAAAGATGTTAAACAAGATATACTTTTGTTTAATAGAAACTTGATCCGCAGCTGCCCTTCAGATTCAGACTACGCGACATCCAGCTGTTAACATGTTAATAAAAGGCCCCAAAGAAGCTGGAGGAACTAAATTTTGCATCCAAACACGGCGCAGCTGAATTAATCTGAGACAAATACTGACACCAGGCGTTAACTTTGCCCACGAGACTGTGTTCGGTGATAACAGCAGTTTGCTGCCAGCCTCGGGACATTGAAGAAATTATTAATAATGAAAAGCTCAGTGTGATCTCACAGGAGAAACTTTTAATTTTATTTTTAAACGAAAGATCTCGGCTCTGCTGCCAAACAAGACCTCAGTCTTCACGTGTGTCTGTTCTGGATGCTTCCTGCTCCATAACCGGCTCTGGTATCACTCAGATCTCCATTATACGTTTTAATTAATTTAATAGATCACAATTAAACTGACCTGTGGGGACGCACGTTTAAATTACAGGCCACGTGAAAGACGTTTCTCAACCTCCGAATTACCTCTGCAGGAATGTAAAAGTCTTATTTCAATATTATTTATTCAAACAGAGACAGACTTTTTTCCCTGAGAGTACAGGCCTACACCTTTGCCTGTAATGTCATAATGAATTAAAGGTGCACTGACTAACGTTTACTTCTGGAACTATAGGACTTTATTTTCTTTATTTGTGACAATAATAATGTTAATTATTTGTTTTTAGCGTTGCTTTATAACCATGTGCTGACTTTTAGGCCAAGTTTGTCATGTCCTTAATGTTGGCCTATATATATGTGTGTGTATGTGTGTGTGTGTGTGTTTATCAGGTTATTTCAGTTATTTTTGCTCAGGGAAGAACCCTTGTATAAAATGCGTAACTAAATCATGTAACTCAGTTTTGACACGACGGTGACAGGTAAAAGCTGCAATGATGAATCTAAATAAATGATTAAAGCTGAACCAGAGTTCCAGTTAATGCACACGGAATTAAATCAAAAGTCATACATGTGGTTAAAGGCAAAATAAAGTAAAGGCCTATATAACGTGAGAATTAAATTTCCGGGAACTTTGATTTTGAGTTTTATTTTGCCAGCAGAACATCACGCGTTTACTGCAGCTTTAATGAACTGCCTTAATTCTTAAATGTAGTATTAGTATAAGACAAAGTATTTAGACAAGGATTTCCATAATCCACTGGGGTCCCTTTTAGCAGGTAAATGCTCAAATTTAGGACTAATAGCAGCTTTTTTTCGGCATTGAAAGGAGCCAGGGGCCTCCTGGTGTATCTGAACTGAGGCGTTAACACTCCGCATAAAGCAGACTTATTTCCATAACCGCAGGAAGGAGCCCAATCATGTAAATGCGTCAAAAAACTGTGTGCAAATGAACTCCCATTACAATTTAGATTAGATCTACTGGGCGACAATTAGCAGAATGGCTCTAATCAGCGGACAGGAGTCTGCGGGCTGAACTGAACTCAGGAAGAAATAAAAAAGATAAAGTCCACCTAATTAAAAACAGTTTATATTTAGGAAAAAAACTTTGATTTATTATATTTTAAAATGTAGCATATTTAGCAAAGGCATATATTTTATTTAACATGTTTTTTTCGTTACCTACAGAAAAAAAAGACCACTGCCTCCGTTTTGAGAGCTTCTAAAATACCGAAACCAACGAAAACCAGGTAATTGTAAAGCACAAATATCATTTAAATAATCACTATTTCAGTAACGTTAAGCAGGCTATTAGGCAGAAAATAGGGATGAATAACTTGAAATAAAAGCAGCTATGAGTCTCACCTTCTTCAGGCTCCTTTTAAAAAAATAAAAAATCCTGTTAAATGTCAAACCAATGAGATCCAGAGTTGGAGAAATATCCACATGGAGGAAACTTTCTTGTTTTCTGGCAAAAAAAGAAAAGATAAGGTAACGCAGGCTCAGCAGCTCCGCGTAGAACTCACATCTGTGAAGCTAAAAAACAAAAATAACGAACATTTAAACGCAGAAATGTATTGTCAAATTATTTTTAAATAACCGTGCTCTTGTTATCCGCGCTCTCTCCTGCCGGTGTTGACGGATGGAGATTGACGCTCGTCTCCGAGGGCCCGCTCCTCTATGAGTCAAGGAAGCGCCCGGGTCTGCGTCCTCGGGCCAATCACAGCGCTCAGCTGCCTTATCGGCGACGCGGACGTCCAATGGGCAGGCCAGCTTAGCGCCGAAACACCCGCCCCCTGTTCGAATCAAACACGTGACGCGACTGGGACGCCTGTGACAGAAAGTTGAAGGAGAGTCGGCCGCTGCCATGACAGCATGTTTGATTTAAATGATAAATAAACATATATTTATATTATAGAGTCTAATTACTGAGTCTGTGGTAAAGTTATTTTTTATTGTCACAGAAGCTGCACGACGTGTCCTTACATTTGGCCCATGGAGAACAAAATAAAATGGCAACTTTTTTTCCTCCCACATCGTCAATAAAACGATAAAATAGCATAAATATCTCAGTTAGCATTAAATGTAGCTTATGGTAAACGAAGAGGCTCATTAGGCCTACTAATTTTGAGTCTGCATCCAATTAAAGGCTGCCACCAGGCCCACAACAGTAGGCCCTGTTCTCTTTGCAACAAGGTAAGGCAAATTTGTAGCACATTTCAGCAACAAGGCAATTCAAACTGCTTGACATAGAACATAGAAGCAACATAAGGCAATATAAAAAGACAGTTAAATACAATTTAAAAAAGAGCTAATTAGAAAACTATAGCAAGGTAAAACCGGACAGCAGCTAAAAGTTACAGTGCATGTAAGATATTAATCAAAAGGTAGCTGCCAAAAGATAAGTCTTCAGCCGTAATTTAAAAGAAGTTAAAAGTAAAGTAAAAGAAGAGCTTCAGCAGTGCTTTAGTTTTCCGTGGGTTTGTTCCAGATATGGAGCATAAAAACTGAACACTATGCCAGGTTTAGTTTAGACTGGTGGAGGGGGGGGGGAGGATGTTGAGTAGACCTGTGCAGATATTTTTGTTCCCTTGAATGGCCTGTACAGGAGGTATTTTCAGCCTGTACAGGAGGTATTTTCAGCCTGTACAGGAGGTCAGCCTGTACAGGAGGTATTTTGGGCCCTGAATGACACTCTCAGCCTCAGCTGATTCAGTTCAGGAAAAAAAAAAATACTAAGAAACCTGGCAGAAAAAAAGCTGCAACACAGGCTCCAACATGAGCAGCTGCTGATTAAAGCAGAGCTGCTGCTGTCATGATATATATATATATTTTTTTACTTAAATGACCTTCAAATGAAATCAACAGACTGCTTTTTAAAGGTTTAAATGTGTTTTATTCCGCTCTTGTAAATCTATCTATTGTCTGTTGTTGACAGATTGCTGGATCATTTGATAGAAAGATAAATAGACAATAACAACAACAATTTTCTAAATTATATAGGCCTAATAACAAATGCATGTTTCAGCAAAAGCAAAATATAAGTTACAACATTAACAAACGTAATAATAAATGATGTAATGAGTGAACAAACAGCCTGAATCCCACTCCTGATCAATAATTTAAAGCATATGCAAGACGTACCTGCTGAGAAATGTAACCTCGTGGTCCCTCTGAGGCAGGAAAATACTAATAAAATCAAAAGAAAAACAGCTGGCAGGTTGTTTTGAGAGGAAATGAATATGGATCTCATTTCCTCTGTGTGTTCTCGGAAATTGGTTGTGGCCGATGGCAATAAAGCCAGTGATTGATCACTAGTATCAAGATATCAAATGGACACAGTCTTTGTTGATGTGAGCGGTTTTTGGGGTCTAATCCCAAATTGCAGGAGTATTTTCTTAATACTAAGCCCGTAAATCCAGGGCTCAGGCAGCCTAAAGAGGTGTGTGTGTGTGTGTGTTGGAGGTGGAGGGGGTTAAGTGTGGAGAGGCTTCTCGGCTGTGTTGTCGGCGCTTATTAAAAGCATGATGCATAAAATCCCAGGTTGTCAGAAAGCATGCAGGAGGCTCCGGCCATGCAGGCTGCTGCACACTTTCCCCTTCATATAAAAAACAAAAAACCCTGCCGTGCAGACACAGAACAGGGCAGAAAAACCCTTTGAATCAGCTGATGACAGCGAGTTTGGCTGCAGGCTGAAGGAAAAGTGCAGTTCAGCAGGCAGGTAAAGATCTGGCAGAAGGAAACACATGGACCAGGAGAACCAAAATGCACTCCTACTGTCTGGTGACTCTGATTTGGACCCACCAGGAGAAGATTTTGCTCTGCTGGGACTCTCAGGTAGGAAAATCTTTCTCCTGTAAAGTATCACGTGTTTGTGGTTAAAACTATTTGTGTGAAAGCTTTTAAAAGGGTAAAACTGTCTCCATTAGGTTTAAAACTTGGTAAAAAATATAGGTGATATCAAAAACTGAAACTACGTCTTTCCTGCGGGTATGTTATGTGATCATAACATATGTGGTAAAAAAACGCTGCTGTGAGTGTTAAGAATTCTTCTAATTATCTTAACAAGTTTAACATCTTTGATGTGATTTCTTGCAGATGATGATTCTATAAACTGTGTTAAACTGCGTTGATGGATTTTCAGCTTTGTTTTTTTAAAAGCATTTTTAAAAAAAGGAGCTGAATTCAAATCTTTATAGATTTTTTGGGAGAACAATGCATTATGAGCATTAGAGGTGACAGTGTTAATAGGAGGGGTTGAAGCTTAATATAAAACAGTACAACAGAGTGATTTATGGAAATATGTAAAAAAAAAAATAAATTAAAAAAACCTAGCCTGAGTGTGTTTTCAAAGCCCAAACTGTCTCAGCAACTTTAAAAGTATTTAAAAAGTTACATTTTAATTCTGAAGTTGTCAGTGAGCGTGGAGGCAAAGCCCTCTTTTCTGTGACATTAGAGGTGACGAGAAGATGACGTACATATGTGATTACGTAACACGTCTACATCACACAAACTGTTCTTAAGGCAGCAGTCAAATGACACAGTAGCTTCTTTTGATAATGTATAATCTACAGAATTTCAAATATATCAATATTTTTAAATGTATTGTTAACCTGAACAACATTAAGGCATATTTATTCATGGTTGGTCCCTCAAAAAAGTCAGGAGAGTATCTAAAAAAGTAAGTTTGAATATCTTTGCCAGAATTATCTTGGTAAATTATCTAACAGTATTAAAAGATATACCAAAAGACACAGTGTGGAATCTTATGCCCCTAAATCTTAACAGCCCACTGATGGTGTGATCTGTGAGGACACGTCAGAGGTTTATCTTTAATAACAATAGATCATTTAAAATTTTATTTATTATTACTTTTTGTTTGAAACATTTTAATTAAAACATGTTTAAATGTAAAATGTTTCCCTTTCCTCTATAATAAATAGGCTCAAAGGGATTCACACATGAAGACAAACAACATTTTTCATAAGATGCAGAGTTAAGCAGTGGTGACTAAGTACGTTTACTCAAGTACTATACTTTTACATTTCAGATGGAAATATTGGCTGCAGCATTAGTGATGCTTACACATCCAGTTATGTTATATAAATTGTTCTTTAAAGGGAAACTCTGCATAAAGAGCACTTTTATGTATTATATTTCGATGCTAATGCTACATATTTTTTCTTAAGTAAAAATTTAAATGCAGGAGTTTTACTTGTACCAGAGTATTTTTACACTCTGATATTACTGAAGTAAAACATCTGAGTACTTATTCCATCTCCGTATAAACGGCACACACAAGACTCTCGCCTGTTTGTGCCAATGATGGATATCAAACCCTCTGGTGAATGCTGGGAGTTATGGGTAATGTCACCTGTGTCGAGTCTCTGATCAGAATAGAGGCATGCAGCGTACAGATCCTCAGTTACTACAGTATGTTTAAATGTACTCTTTAATACAAGTTTGTGGTCAACACAAACAGTAGAAAAATCTACACGCTACAAGTGCAGCATTTTAAATTGATCCACTTGGAAAAGCACTGTGTATTTTAAGGCACCGCTTTAGGTTGAACATGGATGTGGATGGATACCACAGTCATCCACAGACTTTGTAAACTATACACACACAGTAGAGGCTGTGTACCTTTAGACAATGTGAAATATCAATACTTGAAGTGACTTGGATCAGCTGGAGACCTGCAGGTATGATGGGTCTCCAGCTGACATGTGCAGCGTGGGGACAGACAGACTGCGCTGTACAGTCGCTCGGCCCAGCTGCCACAGTCTTCCTCAGTAATGATGAGCTTGGCTCAGTGGAGCAGACGGAGGCTGATGGAGCAGATAACAACAGCCCCACTGACTGCTGAGGAAAATAACTTCAGCACAAACTGGTCAAACAAACAGTTGTAGGAAACAGGAGTTCGGAAAATAATGTTGATGAGTAAAAAACCTTTAGAGGCGGAGCGACGTTATACTGAAACTTAAGGAAAAAGCTACAAGAGGAAGGAGGAAGTTACTTTATTATGAAGATTTATCTGTAAACAGTTATGGGATTTGGAACTAAACGTTGCTTCTCATGTGCAGCTTCCAATTTGCTCAACCTTTCAACTGATTGAACAAAGGAAATTGAATCTGGGTTTCAGTCAGTCACAATGTTATTATAATCTAACATTACCACCACTTGTTAAATGTAGACCTGTACGTATGTGGTCTGGCTGGAGAGAAGGATGTGACAGTAAGCCCTCTTCTCCGTTTACACATTCAGAACAATGCATTAACGGATGTGAAACTGTCTTCAGGCAATTAATATACTGTCTAGTTCATGTTTTATGCCGTGTAACAACAGTGAATCTGCAGAGATGAAGTTTCCCTCACACTCAAACTCACAAAAGCTGCGAAGTCACGCTCCCTGATTTAGTTATCAGCACTTCCAGATTCCAAATGTACAGTAGCAGCTTGTGTTGACTTTACATTTAAATTTAGAGTCCAGCTTAAGTTCAGCTGGTGTAACATAGCGCAGCTGTGCCAACTTTATGACCTAATGTATTAGCTTGGTTCATGAAAATACTACTGTTCACTTTATTAGTAACACATTTACTCAAGAACTGTGCATAACTATAATTGTGAGGTACTGGAGTATTTCCATTTTCTGCTACTTTATACTTCTACCCCACTACATTGCAGAGACAAATATTGTACTCCAATACATTTATTTTGAAAACCTACTAGTTACTAGTTACATGGGACATTCTGCAACTTTACTTTTGGTACTTTAATTATATTTTGATACTAATACTTTTGTATAGTTAGTATGTCATTTAACTGAGATTCAAACAAAACAATATTAGGATTCGG